TTTCATTTTTAACTTTTGTTGACATTCAATGGCTTAAATAGAGTCGAAATCCCTTGAAATATACCGTGATTGTTTTCTGTTTATACATGTAGTAAATAATATAGTTTCACGGCAATATGAAGCGACGCCCATTCTGTACAGCAAAGAATGACGGTTTAGTTGTAGTCCTCGCACTTTTTACAGACTCTGAGAAAAGCTGTTTTTATGCTTGCTTTTTAGAAACGGCACATTTTCTATATTTGCAAAGAAAAAGGAAAACCGGCTACGTGAAGTCCACAACTCCAATCATGCTTTGTTGCGTAAAATGGCGTCGCTGCTCATTCCATGTTAAAGTGCAAACAAAAGTGCACATGACACCATTAGAAATTTATTCTCATCCAAAAGGGAAAATGTTGCTAAGTTCATCTGTGAAGTAAGAAATTGATTTTGAATTGTATTTATGGGCGATTGAAAGTGTAGAAAATGCAAATGAAGTGACGTCTACTTAGGAATGATTTAATATATAAAATAATGAAAGAGGACGTTATTCTTTTTGTTTTATTGGAAAAAAACAGCTCTCTTTTCAGTTCCCAATTATTACTGTGATTGATGATTTGAGCTCTTCTAGCAGGAACAACATAACACAAACAATGTAAAAAGTCAGGACCAATTCCTTTGCATTTTCAATTTTTAAATGTCTATAACTCAGAAAATACAATTTAAAATTTATTTCTTTCTTCACAGAAGTTCTTGGCAGCGTGTTACCTTTCGGATAAAAGTGAATTTCAAAAAGGTGTCATGTGCACTTTAAGGTAGTTTTCCATTTAGACAGAATTGGCCAGCCAGACTATAAATAATGCCGTTTTTTTCGGGATTTCTCGTTAATTTTTTGTTTGCTTTCCATTCTAATGATAGGGGAAATTTAAATATTCACCGATCCCTTCTTCACTCAGATTTTATTCACTATGTGATTGAAATCATCAAATAATGAGCAGTTTTCCCAGTGGAATTGAAACTGTCCGAGCAACAAACACAAAATCGAATATAATTTCCTAAATTCATTAGCTTTTTCTGTTGAAAATGTAAAAAAAACCCACTAACACAAGAAAAGTTCCTACATTTGTATACATCGCAGCAATCGGTATCTTTTCCATGCTCTATATCAAAGGAATATTTTCGCTTGTCCTACGTAGCAACAGTAACTAGGGGATAGGACAATGAATCGGGATCTGTGAATTGATTTCTCTGGAATTCTCTTTGTTTCTGACCAGTCAATTCCGGCAGAAGGAAAGCNATCCTTTATTTCATTTTTAACTTTTGTTGACATTTAATGGCTTAAATAGAGTCGAAAACCCTTGTAATATAGATTGTTTTCCGTTTTTACATGTAGTAAATAATATAGTTTCACGTCAATATGAAGCGACGCCATTCTGTAAAGCAAAGCATAATGGTTTCGTTGTAGTCCTCGCACTTTTTACAGACTCTGAGAAAAGCTGTTTTTATCCTTGCTTTTTAGAAACGGCACAGTTTATATATTTGCAAAGAAAAACAAAACCGTCTACGTGAAGTCTACAATTCCAATCATGCTTTGTTGCACAAAATGGCGTCTCTGCTCATTGTATGTCAAGGTAGCTTTCCATTTAGACAGAATTGGCCGGCCAGACTATAAGTAATGCCTTTTTTTCGAGATTTCTCGTTAATTTTTTGTTTGTTTTCCATTCTAATGATAGGGGAAATTTAAAAATTCACCGATCCCTTCTTCGCACAGATTTTGTTCACTATGCGATTATAATCACCAAACAACGAGCAGTTTTCCCTATTGAATTGAAATTTAATTAAACTGTCCGAGCAACAATCATCAAAATCGAATATTTTTACTAAATCCATAAGCTTTTTCTGTTGAAAATGTAAAAAAAACATATAACACAAGAAAAGTTCCTACATTTGTATACATCGCAGCAATCGGTATATTTTCCATGCTCTATATCAAAGGAATATTTTCGCTTGTCCTACGTAGCAACAGTAACTAGGGGATAGGACAATGAATCGGGATCTGTGAATTGATTTCTCTGGAATTCTCTTTGTTTCTGACCAGTCAATTCCGGCAGAAGGAAAGCKCACTAATAATTACACGAATTTAGAATATATTACACACATATTTAGAATAAATACATACGTATTTATCAAAATTAGATAAAAATAAGAGGGAGAATAATAATAGGTCGAAATTTACAGCGCTTCTGATCAATATTACTACTATGATAAGCACGATGTGACATTATTATGCGGTAAGGCAATTAAAAAGCGCTGCACGAAAGGGATAGAGGTTATAATGACTTACTTATTTACTAGCCAAAACCTTCATGCTGGCAGAACTCTGCGAAACATTGCCAGCAGCTTTCTTCGGTGATATCTTGAGTTATAGAATAAAATAGAAGCACCGATCGCGCCATTTRCACACCCTAGATAAGAAGTTACATAACGAGTAATGTAATCCTGCGTGAAAGAGACTTTCAGCTTAAAAATCATGGCTCCACCGCTATACAAAAAATAAACTAAGTAAGGTATTATGAAAGCAAATATGAGTGACACAAACATGTGTGTGGTTTTATGCCTTCGTAGGTTTGCACGGGCAACTCGTGGATTCTTGTCTGCTGCAGTGCGTCGTGTTCTGCGCAAAAACTTCAAAATCCTGATGCTCACAAATGCGAGAAAAATRCAAGGAATAACGAAAACTAACACGGTAAAGCTTAAAAAGAAAGAACGATAGAGTTTGGTTGAGTTGTTGTACTTACAAGTTAGAGTATACYTGTCATCATCTATATCAAAGCGCACGAGATTGTACGAGACTTGTGCTAGCATATCAAAAACTGCCGCTAACATCCACGCCGCTAACACTAAACGCYTTCCTGTCTTAACACTTGGTAGACGAAGTGGATGAAACACAGCAAAGTATCGTTCAACGCCTATTACTAAGTAATTCATTACTGTGGCTATCAGAAAATACATATTGTTGAATCTAACGACTTTACAAGCTAAGTCAGTCTTGATAAAATCCACGAACATCTCAGTTGTAAACACAGGCACACTAACCGAAGAACTCAAGATGTCAGAGAGAGATAGACTTTGAATGAAACGATCKATCAAGAAGCTGCGGTTGAATGCCGTTTTCTTGGATGGCTTTCTTTGCGTAAAATAAAAGATCAACAAGTTCGCTATTAGTCCAAACACCGCAGCAGTTGCATATGAACATGCAATAACGACTTTGACGGTGTAGTTCACCGGGGCGAATACGTACGTCGACGAAGCGTTTAAAGTCGAACTGCCGGTGTTGTTGATGTCCATGCTTAAGAGCACACCTTTAAACCTGTACGTTATTTTAATTAAAAGGGTGTAAACATCTAAACAGTTTTATTTAAATAAAATACATATATCTCAAAACATCCTTGCACTTGTATAATATCAATATCATTGATATAATTATCTATAAACTACCTATATTTCTCTATTTCGAAACGTTATTTTCACTAGGGGAAATTATGAACATTCGAGGTTTCTCTATATTTTGGAAATAAAAAAGGGCAATTTACGATATAATTTGCTTCCAAATATAATTATCTTATAAAAAGAATATTGCATGGTTGCTTGGAGATACGAATTTTATCTTCTCGCATTGAAAATCTTCGCTAGCTCGGTCGTTCGAGATTTTTTTTAAATACTCGAAGATAAAATTCGCATTCCCGCGCGTCTATGTAATATCCTCTTTATTTAAATATATATATAACTTTGAATGAATAACAAATAAATGAATTATCAGTTTTACCTGAACTAGTAACTGTTGTTTAAACTTTGCTTATTCTAACACCAACCTTCAACTGAGCAAGTGTCATTAGTGCTCATACCCAATTCAACTGGTCAAACGGAAAAAACTTCAAGGTTTTGTGCAAGATTTGTATAAAATAAACATGACGTACTTGTAAGCAGTGAAAACGAAAAGCGATTTACTGCGGAAATGAAGATTGGAACATTTAAGTACCTTTTTAGCGATTTAAAAAAGGAAATACTACAATGGGACAATTACTTGGTACCATAGTGGAGGTTATACAATGTCTTTCACATGTTTTCGAGTGCCTAGGTTCAATTTTTTATTGCATTCGGTGCAAATCGCAGAAATCGGCCCACTGAATACACTAGATAAACTATTAAATCATTCACCGTTTATTCGACTGAAGTCGAATTGGATTCAGTGATGTCGAATCTAACAAATGTAATGTTCAGAAAGTGGCTATTTAAAATAGAATCTCATACCTCAATTTTAAAGTCGTGCGTTGATTGGTCAGCACGTCAACCGGATGAGAGGGTATTTCAAGTGGAATTCAACGGTGAGAAACCTGAATTCAACGCTGAGAAACCTGAATTCAACGCCCCGATAAGCTACCTTAAAAACACTTGCGTTATTTCAACAATTTACTCACAAAATCCGNTTTTCAGCTACTTTTTGATTGAGAATGTCTACTACTAGTACGCTTTCTTTCACAAGTAAACATGAAGTAGGTTTTGAAGTCTGCTTGGCAAGTCAGGGCTACTACTGACTTCGACGAGTTTCGTTCGTCCAAATAAGACTCAAAATATGACTTTAAACTTGTTTTCAATTTTTCAGTAACAACCTTTCGAAGTCTTTTCTTCATAGATGATATTTCTAATCGAGATAAGAATGGAAAACTGTAGAAATCTTAGGATTTGTGGCCCTGGTCTGTCTGCAAGTTTGCCGTCCGCCGATGATCGTTGCAAACTCGCTCTGAAAAACCGGTTTAAGCTTGTCAGTAAAAATACTGAAAAGCCATTCGAGTGCTAAAAATTTGTTTGTTTTAGTTATTAAAAAGTAATATTTCTTTAGCTAAAATGAAAAAAAAACAACAAAAAAACTGAAAATGAAATTCTCGCACTGAACTCACGAGCGATCGCTTCAATTTTGCAAACGCACGCTCATTTCTAACCTTTTTTTGTTATTGTTTTTATAATTTTTTTCTCCTTTAAAATTGAGGTATGAGATTCTATAGGTAAATTCATTGGATGACTCGTGAATTCCGCGTTGAATTCACTCGTCACCCAATGAATTTACCTATAATATTCAATACATGTGAAATACCGAATAAATGGAGTCTTACTTTGGTAAAAATTGACTAAATGTTTCGTAATTATTGTAAACTCATGACTTCCGTATATTGTGGGACGTTTTCATTTAGTAGTCAAGAGTGAAATGATTACAAGTCCGAGGAACGGAAACATCGTTGAAAAAGTTTTGGATTAATAAACGAGTCGTACAGTAAGAAATACAATACTTAGACTTCAATTCAAGTCATAATCATGTATGAGTTGGAAATTTACAAGTGCAACTTTTTAAAAAGCTGTAATTCCCTTAAGGCCTTTAATCCCTCATTAATGGATGGTTTAAGTTTTTTTTATATAAACAGGCGCGTAGCATGCTTTACTCATATACGCACGTGTGTACTAGTAGCAAGGAACTATATTAAAATGTTCATAAAATTCATTAAAAAGTTGGAATTGTTTCAAATTAAAGACTTGAGATATTTCGGGATTAAAAGCTTCTAATCACTATTAGCTTGGGTTTTTTTAATTTACTGTTTCTTATCTTATCAAACACAAAGGCATCTGATAATTTCTCATTGTTTCTGTGTTCCTCGCCTACAAAAGTAGTAGCGTACATGATTATTAAGTTTAAAAATCAAAAAAAGGTCCGCATAAAACATCCGGGTTGATTTTATGCCAGAAAAGTACAGCGGCCGATCGACGTCTTCCTTAAGAAAGAAAAAAATCAAATGTACAAATTAAGATTGCGGAAAATGACTATTTTCAGATGAAACCTGCATGCGATGTTGTTTTTCTTTTTGTTCAAAATGACTCCCCCCATTCTGATTGGGAATGAGGTTGTACAAGCTTATTCCATATAAATTTACCATTTACCGTATTTACCATTTTTGCCACAGGTGTAAAATTTTGTTGATCTTTGATTGGTCGAGAATTGTGGTTAATTAAAGTGCATTTCTCAAGCGTAAGTTTTCTTTCAAGTCTTCTTTCTTCATTTTTGTTGCTGCTGCTGCTGTTTGTTGTAAAAGTTATGTAAACGCACCGTGTTTACATCAGAGGACAGGGACACAAGCGGCCGATTTATAGTTCCTTTATACATTTTTTCTGCGTTTTTCGAGCGTCGTCTGATATAACAGATATAAATACGATCGTCTGCCAATCAGAGCGCACATTATATATCAAAAACTTTATAAAAGTAAATAAATAAATAAATAATGTAGTGCCCGCTGTAATGGCTTTGCTGTCAGTTTGCGGTGTCCCAGCCACTCTCTTTGTCAAAGTCCATATCGCAACCCGCGGAAAGCCTTGTGACGCAGTGCATTTTGGGATTGATAAAATGAGTAAACAAGTAAACAACGATGTCAGTGCTCCAGTTGTCGGTAACGTAGACTCAGTTTTCGAAAAACATTGGGAAATATTGATATTATAGTTAATCTCAGAAGCAAACAAATATCAACATACAAACAAATATCAACATGCAAGGAAATACAGCAAAAAAAACCTCCAAAAAATGTACAGTTAATCAAGAATTTCCATTTACTAGGCAAATCAAGCAAAAATGAAAACAAAAATATTTTGTCTGTGGAAAAATCGAAACTAATTAGTGTTTTTACGATTTTAGCGATTTGTTTTGATGAAGAAAGGGAGATATATATCGCATGATACATTGCAAAACCATTCAAAATGGCGGGCTTGTGATATGGACTATGGTGTTTATTTATGCAGTTATGTAGTTTATTCTACTGGCGAAGCTAAGAAATAATATATGTAATAATGATTTTATTGTTGCTTTATGTTGACAACTGNTCCTTTATACATTTTTTCTGCGTTTTTCGAGCGTCGTCTGATATAACAGATATAAATACGATCGTCTGCCAATCAGAGCGCACATTATATATCAAAAACTTTATAAAAGTAAATAAATAAATAAATAATGTAGTGCCCGCTGTAATGGCTTTGCTGTCAGTTTGCGGTGTCCCAGCCACTCTCTTTGTCAAAGTCCATATCGCAACCCGCGGAAAGCCTTGTGACGCAGTGCATTTTGGGATTGATAAAATGAGTAAACAAGTAAACAACGATGTCAGTGCTCCAGTTGTCGGTAACGTAGACTCAGTTTTCGAAAAACATTGGGAAATATTGATATTATAGTTAATCTCAGAAGCAAACAAATATCAACATACAAACAAATATCAACATGCAAGGAAATACAGCAAAAAAAACCTCCAAAAAATGTACAGTTAATCAAGAATTTCCATTTACTAGGCAAATCAAGCAAAAATGAAAACAAAAATATTTTGTCTGTGGAAAAATCGAAACTAATTAGTGTTTTTACGATTTTAGCGATTTGTTTTGATGAAGAAAGGGAGATATATATCGCATGATACATTGCAAAACCATTCAAAATGGCGGGCTTGTGATATGGACTATGGTGTTTATTTATGCAGTTATGTAGTTTATTCTACTGGCGAAGCTAAGAAATAATATATGTAATAATGATTTTATTGTTGCTTTATGTTGACAACTGAAAATTGTATATATCAATTGACTATATAACTTTTTGAGTTAGGAAAAAAAATTATGATAGTTTCTTGTATATGTCCTTCTATTTATTCTGGCTGGCACCTTCTTATCTCTAAAATTGTTATTTATCCACGTGACTTCTTCTCGTGGAAAAACAATTTTGACGATTCGATGATATTGTGTAAATAAGAGGACAAATATACCCCATGATAAACGATCACAAACTTGTTAAATCAGTCATCCACGCGCATAAATGTCTATTCGATAAGCAATGTGCAGTTAAGTTCAATTTGTAGTATTCAATTCCATACGGAAAAAAAGGTCATGAGGTTGAGATAAATGATGGCACGTACAATTCTCAAATTTTGACTTTTAATCTATAAATGAGCTCTTGTCGATCTCCCATACTACTTTGCTTTAAAATTGGCGTTGTTGCTCATTGCATATTCAGAATGACGCGAATTTAGAAGAACATACGAAGGMCTGTTTCAAACGACGCTTGTCACGTGAGAAAATCATGCTCGTAGCGCATCAAATGAAATGTGAAAACTAAAGCTAAATATATATTGAAGAATAGGCAATGCGCAGTGACGTCATTTTATGCAGCAAAGCATGATGGTAGTTTCAGTCCTCACACTTGATTATAGACCCTTAAATATCTCCTTAAAATCATTTCTAGTGCTTTCTTCGTAGAAACAACAAAACAGCATCTATGTTGGTAGTAGCAAAAACATTTAAGAAGGACATTTTAGCACACATGAAAAAGAACGAAAACTACAACTACCGTCATACTTTGGTGCACAAAATGGGTCGCTGCATACTACCTGTTGGTCTATGGCGTAATTACGTCACAGCAAAACATCTATTGTTTTATTAATATTACTATTAAAATGTACAGAGCAATCACTGATACAAGGTATATATATATCAATTTTATATAAAATTGAGAGCGAGAATAACAATACGTCCAAATTTCCACTGTTTCTGAGCAGGCATTTATTCTCACTATAAACGTAACGTGACGTCATTATGCGATAGAGTAATAGACCTTGTGGCAGTTCAAACCAAACCGGGCAACATGCGGAACAAAAGTGCCAAGTCATGTCAAAATTATCACCATTT